AAATAAATTCATCTATAATAACTCTAAATTCATATGATTCAAGATTCATCGCGTGAAAATTCATTGAATCTAGAATAATGTGAATGTTAATTAATTAAGAATTAGTAATATAAATTACATAAACAACAATAATTATGTAGTATTTATTACATATCGTAAAACGAAAAACAAGGTATTCCAACAAGTGGCAGTCGACTTGCTCACCATATATGAAAGCTTGGAGTTATAAATGTAAAGATGTTCAATGGATACTATAGTACTTGTTAAGTTATAACTTTAACTATGACAAATGGAGAAATTTAAAGAGGATCATGGTTTCTTAAAAGAAAACAATTTAACAAAACCGATTAAGATTATTGTTTTTAGTTTATGGAATTTTTATTTTTATTTCTATATATTTTCACATAAGGCGATTTTACGTAAACTATAATTTTTTAAATTTTTTTTGGTCAAAAACTGATTTTCTTATTTAAAAAACCAAAAAATAAAAAAGATTTATAAAAAATGTAAAAGTAAATATTTCCTTTTTTTGGGTATTTGTTCATTTTTATTAAATTATTCTACAAAATGTATTTGTATTGATTTGTTAACTCTCCGTAAATAAACAAACACATTTAACTTATTTCCAGAAATTAAAAAAATTTAAATAAGCAAATTACTCTAAAAATTTCATAACAATTTTCTCTTAACATAAAAACAATGCTCACGAGAAAACCAAGTTCCAACCGATGATGAAGTGAACCAAAAGTGATGACAGTATATCCGAGTAAAGATTGTGTACACCAAATTAAAAATATATTAAATAAGTAATATTAGATGCAGTTTGTGAGTAATTTATGTACACGCAAACCCTAACACTTTACTTGGTCAGATGGTCAATAAGGGCCCGTTTCGTACCTATTCCAATTTTCAATTTACTTTTAATTTTTTGTTTTGAAAATCTATTTTAAAATTGCCAAAAACATATTTAATTTATCACCTTAAATATTATTTCTCAAAATAGAAAACTAAAAAATACGTCTAATTTGAAATTTTGAAAAATTATTTAACATTTTATTTTATAAAATTGATTATTCAGTAAAAATAAAATAATTTTATATTAATATATTATCACATAATACATATATTTTAAATTTGGTGAATCTTATAATATTTTTTTTATCACTAAAAAAGTAAAATATATAACAAATTGAGTTCAAAATATATCAATTTTATTTTTAGAGTTTATTTTAGAATATCAACTTTATTTCAAATTTTTTTATTTAAGAAAAAAAATTAACGATTTTATTTTTTCGGAAATTGTACACCCACATTGCAAGTTACATGTTCTCAAATCTCAACAAGGGCTGGACAAAATTTCGAACCGAATCAAATTGATCGACCGAACCCGAACGAAGCGATTCTTCTTAAGTTAAATATTCAAATAGGTATTTGAATCCAGAACCGACATGTTTGGTTCAGTCATCGATTCTAGATTAAGAGCCGAATCTCCCTAATTTTTTAAATTAATTTATTTTAAATAAACCAAATTATTTTATTTTTTTAAAATAAATTTTTGCTAACTAGTTAATTTAGTTCAAACCCAAGAATACGATTTTTCTATTTCTAATTTTTAGTTCCAAGCCAACTTAATCAAATTGACCTAAGTTTTATCCTAATATATTACTCTATCGTAGTATCATTCTACTGTTCTGGAGAAATCGAATTGAAACTCGACTATGCCTCTCTTAATTATTTTAAACTCGTTATCTTTTTCTTTATGTGATTTTGACAATCAAATCTATGAAGAACTCAGCAAAGGTTAACGTAAAAGACACATAAGATTGTACTACGTTATTTTGTAAAAACTAAGATTGAACATATAATTAATTGAATTGATGTAACTTTGCATATATTAAAATATTTAATTATAATACGGAACCTCATTAATTAAATTAATGTAACTTTGCATATATTAAAAAAATTAATTATAATACGGCACCTAAGAATCAAATCCGAACGGTCCCACTTACTAAATACCCAAAAATTTCGGGTCCGGCTCAAATCTCGTTAGAACAAAATTGAACTGGACCATGTCTAGCCCTAATCTCACCAACAAATCTTATATTACAAAATACTAGAGATAAAAGTATTTAGGTAACAGAACAGGCCCAAATGTCATTTGCTCAGGCAATGGAATCTTCAGCCCTGAGAGGGTTGATTCATCAATTTCAGAGGCGAATTCTCAATACAGCGTAGGAAAAATTTCGTAATCAAGTTGAGGTTCCATTATTCCCTTTTCTACCATTTCTTGGCAACATCTTGTCCTCCAAAACTGCAAACCTCGTATGGCTTCATCATCTCTTTGAAAACGTAAAATGGTCAATTGAATGCCACTGCTGATTGATCAACTTGTTTTATTTCCCGACCGCATCATCTTGATCAAAGCGTTGCACGTCTGCGCAACAGGCTGGGTGATGGGGTCCTTTCTCCTTCGTATTCTTCGACAACTTACACATCACCTCGATCTTCTTTTGATTCACAAATTCTGCCATCAAACAAGTCTAGAATGCAGCATCTAACTTATACATCCATTCGATCTGCTTTTGAATCACAAATCCCGACATTCATTCGTAACTAAGCATTTCATTTTAAGAACACAACAGCTTCGTTCATCTTCCCTTGTTTGCAGAAGTCCTTGACCAAGATTGGAAAATAAACCTGTAGCCTTCATCAAGTTGAACAGCTTGATTGTATCGGACATTTTCTTTCTTGAAACCTTAACGCCCTTATTGAACAGCGTATTTTGAGCATCATCAGGCTTAAAACCCTTCTCAATCATCTTATTTCACCTCCTCCACGACTCCATTAAAATCTTCACCCAGCGCCAAAGACTGAGCCGAAACTTTATAAACGCTATAATTCAGCATGAAACTACATCCCAATTTCTCAAAGAAAGCCCGTGCTTCTTTTCACAATCCCCAGGATGTCCCAGCAAAGAGTTTGATCCATCTCTTCCCCAACTTTAGTATATTAAACTTCTCCATAGATGAAAATACCAACAGTCAATTTCCTCTCCTTCACAGAAACAAATGCTTCGATCACCTGAATAAACGTTTCCCTCGTGAGCAGATCCTTCTCTTCTTTTCCTCAAGGACAAACACCATGTTCTCAAACTGTCTCCTCTTCTCAAGAACAATAATCATCACATTTACTTGCCAAATCTCGATTAAAATTCAACTTGCAATCATCTAAAATCATTTAATATTCACCTCCAAACTCATATCTTTGATCTGAATCAATTCACTTGCTATGTCCACCTCCATCTGATCAGTCCTCCATTTCACATTTTTAACGATAATTGATTCATTTCCGCAACCACGCAACACTCATTCCCAAAATCCAATCGCGCAACAATAACACGAGGAATTAAAGACCCTAAATTATTCAAGCAATAAAAGGAAACACTGTTATTGTAGGAAAATCTCAGCTTCCAGTATCGGTTTAATGCAATATTTTTTGAAGAGGAGAGAATGAAGTGGGATGTGACAAAATAAATGGAATTTCACAAAAAGCACAATAGACTACTACGAGTTAGAGAATGAAGCAAAGAACACATGGACAGAGAGCTACTGTTAGTTTGCTTTCCTTGAATTCATCAACCCCGTACCGTTCAGATTTGTAATTCGGTGGTGCTAAGGAAGAGTTTGCCATTTACGGTGGTTTTTCCGGTAGAATTTGAGTGAAAAATAGATTTGAAGAGTAGGGGTTTCTTCAAAATGCCCAAATATGCAGCCTTTTTGTGTAAATTGAAGAAAAAGAGAACGCTTAAATTGAGTGGAACGTGGATTCGAAGATCGATGATTTCTTCAAAATGCTCAAATATATAGCCCTTTAGTGTAACAACAAAAAAAGGAATGCTCAAATTGAGTGGGATTTGGATTTGAAGAGTAGAAATTTCTTCCACGTTCTCCAGTAATTAGCAAATTCATTTTACTGGGACATTCAAAGTGAAAAAAAGAAGTAATGGTTGCAGTTGGAAGTTTCAGAACGAGCGTTCACACAGAAGTGCAGGTTCGTTTCGTGGCTGGATAGTGATGCTGTGGTCTGGTGAAGGAGAAAGATGATGGGAGCATGTTGAATGAGCTGCAAAGTCAACTTCTTTATTACAAGAAAGTTTGGTAAATTATGGAACCCAATTTAGGGCATCTCCAACTATTCGTTAAATCCAAATAAAATATCTCCGAAGTTAAAGAATCACTTTCGATAGTTAAATACATTCAAAGTATTTTAATTTTTAATGAAATCGAATAATATAAGAATTTTGACGAAAACTAATGAAAATAAAAGATAGAATAAAATAATATATATTTTTTTAGAGTAATAAATTAAGTGTTAAAAATAAATAGTTTGTTGGAGTACTTATATATACTTTTTAAATTGAAAAAAAAAGGCTCTTTAGAAATAAAAAATCTTTTAGATATTCTCCTAAGTACAATCAAATCACTTAACTTTGAATTGATTACAAAACTGACTTAAATTTAATTAATGCAATACATTTGAGCTAGACGTTAAAATTAACGGATAGATAACATTTAAGACTATTATCTTAAAAGTTTGTTTGATATAGAATTTTAGAGTATAAGCCCTTGTTTGAGTCTCAAAAGAACAAACTATAATTGAAAAATAGAAGTTCATCATCATTACTACCAATGATGGGCTCAGAAAATGGTAAATTCAAACTTTCCCATTCATTAAGAAGATAACGACCTTGAAAATTGGCATGGCTCCAGTATAGAACTTGACAGCATGAGAATTGGCTTCCGATTTGATACACATCTCAAGTCTTGTTGTTAGATCATAAATAAACTGCTCTTTTCACACAAGATGAAATTTGTGTTAACTCATGCATGCAGAATTTACAGGATGTAAAAACATGCCAAAATCTATCTTCAATGGTGGAAACAATCACCAGTTCAAAGAAACTGACAATGTTGAAATCTTATTCTTCAATCATGCATATTTTCTAATTCAGAGCAGCTCATAATGGGAAGATGCTTCTTCCCTAAGTTAATCATACTGCTCAAACTCTCAAAGCAAAGGGGAGACCAGAATGAGTCACTCAGCCGTGTTCCTTCTTTATACAAGTCACCCTTTCTTTATTTTGCCAAAATTAACAATGGGATATCTGTAGCAGGAAATTCAACATAAAGACTAATTGGTACTCATTACATTACCTGAACTTTTCGCAGTAAATTGCGTGTGCAATGCAGCTTCTCTACATGCTCTCTTTTTTGCAAAAAGAGAAGGATTGACGCCATCACGCCTAGATTGCACGGACAGAATCTGCAACAATTACGATGAATTTTGTTTTGAACAAGTTTTCATCGTGTCTTTTTTTTTTTTTTTTTTTTAAACTACAATTGGTAGTAACCAAAAAGATCCTTGCCAAACACCTTTTCGTTAAGCTGTTCCATGTTTGCTTCCATACTATTTATATTATTTTTCATCCTAGAATAATAGCGAAAACAAATGAGATTAACAAAAAGAAATAATAAATGCATCAAAAATCAGGAGAAATTCAACATTATAAAGGGAGTAGACTGTTGGATGTAGAAGGATAGAGATTGAAGAAATATGAGATTTTACTAATGAAATTTCGGGATTACAAAAAAGTTGCTACAGCATACTCTTCTCTCTATTTTTTTAGAGGTTTTTTCCTCACTTTTTCTACATACTTGACACTAGATAGATGCCTTCATCTTTATAGAAAATATTGAGTAAACTAGACCTAAGAATTTACTACAACCACAACTAGATAATAGCTGTTTTTCTTCATCATTTGCAGCTATTATGTCTTCAATTGCAGCTGTGTTTGAACATGAGAAGTGTCAAATGGCTGCTCCATCATGTAATTTCCAGATTACAGCTGTTAGTGAACATCAAATTGCTGCCTATGTTCATTTCCAGCTTGCATAAGATGAGTGTACAAATTGAATTGAAAAACTCATCCATTTGACCATTCAAAGAATGAAGCATTTGAAGGTTGAAGTGCTCAATTTGAATTTGAACTCTTTGAATCTTCCTTTGTTGTTGAAGTTTCCAATTTGGATTTGGATTAGTTGAAAATAGATTACAAATTATCGTTTTAACATGGACATCATCTCAATATTGTGCTTCACAAAAGTTATGACCACTATTAATAAATTTTCAGCATATATGTTTATTCAGACAGAAGAATAATTACATTCACTACGAACATGGTTAAAGCTTGTATCGACACAAGAATTACCTTTTGATTGCATCTGTAGCACTAATGAACTTGTTGTAATTCTTATATACTAATATTTGCAGGTCAGTGTTCAGATTTTTAATCTCAAAAATCATTTCGACATGCTTCTTAAGAAGTTCTTCCAATTTTGATTTTTCCACCTGAAACGTTCATTCAGATAATTATTAAAAATAGTCCTATAAACTGAATAAATATAACATACACTGCTAAATGCTGCACCATCAGCTAATAAGGTTTATCAAAAAATGAGAATTATATATTTACACTCACCTCCAAGACATCACTGACATATGAAAAGCTTAATATTTTATTGACAGTACCAAATTACAAAAGATCTGACTTAGTGAGGTTGAAGTGAAATGATTGATCTTATAGTGGTGCAAAATCAATAGAAATTTTGCAACCCTTCTTATAACAGTATTGTCAATTAAGTTTTATTTACATTCTTAATATAGCATTTCTTTTAGGTTTCCAGGAAGAAATAGGATAGTTTCTCATAGTAATCAACTGATTCTGAAGCATTTTAAATCTGTCCATTATCCTTCTAACCTATCTTAAATGAACTATCAGTGCATAAATTTATATTAAGACAGTATCAAAGGCATGACCGTGCCATGGAATTGAATCCACTGGAGAAATTCTATAATGTTTCTCAGTTTCAATTCCTTGTTCCCAAATGACTAGTTTTGTCATGCCAATAAACCCATTTAGAAGTATTCTATAGCTGAAATTTTCTAGTGACATTCATAATTGATCAGAACTCAATATTATTTAAACCAACATTTTGATCTAAAGAGCCCTAGAATATACTCCGTACATTATAAAATGAATTCAATGATAGGACGTTGCATGTTGCCATGTTTTCTTGTTAAAAAAAAAAAAACAAACAAACAAACACTATCTATAGCTTTAAAATTCCAATCAATGGCCAGTATTACAGAAGTTTATGCAGCTAAACTCTCGAAAACATTCAATAAATTAAGTCTATATATGAAGAGATTAGAATTCCAATTCAAGTTAAATTGTAAAGTGACTTACGAGGAGATCCATCTAGTGATCGGCATCAAACGATGTGGCGTTGATGGTGTCAAGGGTAGCGAATCTGGAGATAGAAGCATTTGACGGCGGCGATGTTGATGAAAGAACCTGTGAGTTGAAGCTCAATAACAGATCTCTCAGTCTCTTCGCCTTCTCGTCCAATGGCTCTCCGTCTTCTGTTCCCATTTTCACCTTTTCGAGCTTTTTACATATAAATGTCTCTGCTTATTTATAGGGCGTTTTAAGAAGAAAATCACCGGTTACCTGCTGTAAATTCGAGCCATGGAGAGCTAACTTTGGGCAATCGAGTTGTACGTCGACGGCGTTATGTGCAGCGCCAGATCCAGCTTGCGTGTAACGGTACACTAATTCACAGTTTGTTGGTGGACCAAATTACGCTGACAAGGCAAATACGCACGTTTTGGAAAAGCTTAAAAAGTTAAAAATAAAAATAGTAAGTGCAAAAAATATCTTCCTTTCTCTTTCCCTTTTTCTTATTTTTAAATTTCTATTTGACATATTTATAAATGATTTATAACGTTTGACTGTTATAAATTCTTTTCAAATGGTGTCAAGAACATTGCTGTTTAAAACGTTTATTCTTTTTGCTTTTTCATTTTTTTTGCTTAAAATGACTATATATCTATACCCGTGTACACTTAAGTGTTGCACATCAAAAAAAAAGCTGAAAATTGAAGAATAAACAGTCCCAGATAGGGGCTGAATTTTACAAAATAAAACCAAAAAGATTGAAATATGGCTAAAGATTTGAGTTATAGCCATCTACTATTATATTTTATTGAATAAATGTTAGATAACCTCATCTATATATTTATATCAATCATATTATTTCATTCAAATATTTAGTTCATTGAAAAATATTATTGCAACATCCTGTGTAGTTACGCCATGGTCATCAAAATTTAGTAACCCAGCAATAAATTTATTGAATGTATGTGTAAAAAACTATCAAACGTCATTTTAATTAGGGATGGTAAAAAAG